CAGGCGCACCCGGGACTCTGATTCACTCCTCAGGTTCAGAAGCGAGCCCAACCCCCCAAATTAAGGAAAACACCGTACGTTTTTCGAGGCGCATGAAGGGGATCTTGGGGCTCGAGTTCTGGTTCAAGGTCAGAGCAGGACGACTTCATGTTTGCTCTCTCTCCCTCTCTCTCTCGCTCGTTCTCGTTCCCTCTTCTTCTTCTTCTTCTTCTATGGGAGTTCCCTCTCTCTCTCTCTTTTTGTTTGTTTCTGTTTTGTATATTTCTCGTTGCCATGTAGAGTACACCCCTGAATGCCGTCGGGGTTGGGGCCCACTCAATCTTAGCATCGGTGCTTGGAAGCTCATGAGTAGTTACAAGTAGAGATGTGAGTATGGAAACGTTACCTGTTTAGGGTTTAGGGGTTAGATTTTTTTAAGGGTTTAGGGTTTAAGGTTTAGGGTGATAACCCTTTTTTGTGACTCTACAACTACCCAAATGAACCTGCAAGTATGTTGATCGGAGGCGAAGCATTTAGCGAAGAGTTCGCTGAGTTGTACTTTCAGAAGCTAGGCAGAGCCGCACCCTAGAAGCCTGGTTGAGGGTTTTGGGGTTTTGGATGGAGGGTTTAGGGTTTAGGGTTTAGGGTTTAGGGTTTAGGGTTTAGGGTTTAGGGTTTAGGGTTGAGGGTTTCGGGTTTAGGAACCGCCTTCACAGCGAAGCGCTCTTTGCTGCCTTTGCGGACCACCTGAACGGAGCTTGTGCAGGGCATCGGCTGGCGTTGAGGTCGTAGGCTAGTTCGGAGTTTAGGGTTTAGGGTTTAGGGTTTAGGGTTTAGGGTTTAGGGTGTGTCGCGTGGGTCCAGGCCTCTTGTTTGACACAAACTCTTTACGTTGGGGCCAGATCTACTCCCTATTTCCTCAACCCTAAACGCGGTTCACTTGCATCTGTCAGGGGCCCATTTTTCGTCAAAGAAAGTGTGTGACTTTGACGGGCTTATGTTGAGAAGCTTCCCCCCTTTCGGGCAGCCTTTGCTGGCAGCCCTTTCGGGTAGGGACTTCTGGCAAAACCGCGCATGCATCTGCAAGTTTGGGAACATCGTGATCATGCCATCCAAGCTGTCTCCCGTACTTTCTGCTGACTCTCTAGCGGCCGAACCCTCGGGCAATAGGCTTGAGGAGCCGCCAAACCCTAAATTCTCAGCCCATGTGCATCCTGGCCTCTAAATTTCAAACTCCGAACGCCCGCAACCCTACTATTTACTTACTGTTGGTAAGTAGGGAATGGGGGAATGAGGTACCCTATGTAATCCCTTAAAGGGTATATGTAGGTCCCAAATTCCCTCATTCCCTGCTGCCCAACAGTAAGTTTACCAAGGCTTTGAGCTACCCTAAACCCTAAACCCTAAACCCTAAACCCTAAACCCTAACCCCAAACCCTAAACCCTAAACCCTAGGGGGCTGAGGGCCAGGACGGCATGGTTGCATGATCAGCCGCCGAGTCCGCCCAATCCACGGCTGCAGATACGTGCTCAGGGCTCAGGGTGCACTCTGGATACTGTTTCTGGTTAGGGTTTAGGGTTTGGGGTTTGGGGTTTGGGGTTTAGGGTGCTGTGCCCGGCACCCCACGTGCACAGGGTGCCTTGTGCACTTTTCCGAACTTGCCCTCCCCGAGGACTTCCTCACGAGGATGCGGCTGAAACTCGCATTCCAAAACCTTCATTTTGGTTTAGGGATTTCGGAGGGTTCATTTAGAGTTTAGGATGTAAGTCTTAGGGTCTGGCTACTAGGGTTCAGGACATACCAGCAGGGTTTTGGGCTACAGTTTCTGTGGGGGAGGGCAACGCAGCAGTCCAAATCATGATCAGCATGCACATCCCCTTACAACCCCTGTAAATGCAGGATAACCTACCCTCATTGTGATCGGTCAGTACTCTGATTGAAGGTATATTCCTTCATTGAGGGGTATTGGGCTCTTGGGGGATACAGCAGGATACAGGACTACTTTTTGGTTTCGAACCCCAAAACCCTATATTACCCTTATGAGGAAGGCTTTTTGTTTCTCAATTTTTGGGTGGCTCTTACGCAAATTGTACCCAGAGAGCCCAAAACACCTTAATTAAGGCAAAACCCTAAACCCTAAACCCTAAACCCTAAACCCTAAACCCTAAACCCTAAACCCTTGGTAGAGGAGTGGGTTCTCCTTCATGTCATAGCCCTCTTCCAAAGATGCTTGGATGCTGCGTGTGGATGTGTGGACCGTAGACGGCAATCTGGTGCTGAGGTCGTCCGCATCTTCCTCCTCCTGGCCAAGGGTTTAGGGTTTAGGGTGTAGGGTTTTTTTGCCACCCGCCTAGCTGACACTCAGGCCACACTGTAGGGACGAATACCGGCAATACTGCTTCTCATCGGAAAGATGGGCGCTTTTAAAGTGTAGGGTTGAGGGTTTAGGGGCTGTTGGATGATGCTGGCGGGACCTTTCACCTGAGGCTTTTTGCGCGGTTCCTATACTGCGAAAAGCAATGTCGAAGCACCATGCTTAATTACTCAACCTACGCAGTCGCTCAAAACAGGCACGCCGCGACTCCTGCAACACGCTTGCCTGATACTTCACGCCGGTGGCCCTAGTTCTTTACCCAGAGACCCCAAGACCCCTGAAGTAAGGAAGACTCCTTAAAATATAAAAAAAGGTTTCTTAAAAGCTGTAAGGAACATTCCTTACTTAAAGGGTGGCAGGGTTCTACTCCTAAACGCGAGCTTCCCAGAATGCAGGGATTTCAGCTTGCTAGGGGAGCCTTAACAACAGGCAAGAACGCCTGACTTCGAAAAGGCCGGTGGCCTCTTTATCTGTTTCCCTTTATACCTTAATATACCACTAGATTTAGGGTTTAGGGTTTCGGGTTTAGGGTTTAGGGTTTTGGGGGATACCCTACTAAGAGACCCGAATATATGCCCGATAAAACAGAAGCCCTACTTAAGGAGACCACCATCCCATATGAAGTCTGACCCTCAGACTCCCTGAAGGGCGTCACGTTTAGGGTTTAGGGACTATTTGCTTAAGAACCCCCCCGGAAAATGAAAGATAATAATCCCTATACTGCCCTCAAAAGGCATGATGTTTTCATATTTTTGGGGGGGTTCTTAAGCAGAAGGCACTACTGAGCCTGGGCATCCTAGAAAGGAAGCCCCTGAACCCTAAACCCCTAAACGCCTCAACCCTAAACCCTTGAACCCCTCCACCCCGTAACCCTAAACCCTGAACCCTACACCCTAAAACCCACTTCCCAGAAGTCCTAAACCACCCCCCCCCCCCCCCCCCCCCACCCCCAAAAAAAAAGACATGCATCCCCAAACCCCCAGAACCCTTGCACCCCGAGCCCTAAACCCTAAACCCTAAACCCTAAACCCTAAACCCTAAACCCTAAACCCTAAACCCTAAACCCTAAACCCTAAACCCTAAACCCTACATGGGGTATGCACCCCTGGGTAGTACCCGAAGCCTCGATGGTCGGCTTCGTGGCGACGGAGCCGGAGCTCATGGTCGAGGCAATGGCTGAAGCTTCGCGAGGGAGACTCAGGGTAGGGGTTTAGGGTTTAGGGTTTAGGGTTTAGGGTTTAGGGTTTAGGGTTTAGGGTTTAGGGTTTAGGGTTTAGGGTTTAGGGTTTAGGGTTTAGGGTTTAGGGTTTAGGGCTGAGGGCTTAGGGCCTATATAGGATTTATATAGGGTTTAGGGTTTCTAGTGTTTGGGGTGCCCTAAACCCTACATACTGTAGGTTTGGGGATACAGTGTTTAAGGCTAAACGCCCGGACCTATCTTCGATCCTGGGCGCTTGTGCCGAACTTTTGCGGTCAGCAGGGCTTCAGGGAACCAGGCGCCAGCGAAGGGGCATATAGCCCAGGTTCTGCCCACTTTGCAACATCATGCATTCCTTTCCCTATTTCGTGTTTCTTTTGCAAATTTAACTTGCAAGCCCATCCCATGTTGCCTAAGAAGCCGTAGAGTCAGGCCTGGCCACTTCACAAAGATGCAAAAGCCCTGAGCCCTAAGGCAACAGAAACCAAACCCTGCGGTAAAGCCTAAGGCAACAGAAGCCAACCTTAACTACCAAGGCAGCAAGAGCAGATATGCAACTTCTATTTCTGTGGTTTATAGAGGGCTGTATGATGTCCTTAACCATAACCCTAAATTCGCAGGATGTGGGTCTCGGGGTTCGCGCTTTCCGCATGTCCCGTGCCCCCACACCCAATTCTTCCGCAGGTCATACGCTATTTCGAACAGAAGAGGAAAACACAATGACACAATGTTGGGGTTCTGGGGTTTAGGTTTCAAAGGTTGCAGGTTGTCATTCGTTGTGCGTGCCCGCCATCGTTCTGCAGAAGAAAGCTGCCTGATCACGAGCTAATGCCCCTTACTACATCGACGGCCCCTCATACAGGGATTCGCCATAGAACTTTAGCAAATAATCACCATACACCCTAAACCCCCAACCCTAAATCCTCAACCCTCAACCCGAAACCCTAAACCACATCAACCTCATGTAGGCAGCGGAAGATGAAATGAATGCGAAGATACGGTAGAACCCTTTTACCAACATGTGACAAACAATTTCAAATCTCTGCACAGGCTCCGATCTTCTTTCATGTAGTCTGTTGAAGGAACCCTGAGTACTTTTCTCTTAGGGTTGAGGGTTTAGGGTTTGGGGTTTAGGGTTTAACACAGTCTCACGCCAGAAGACCACTAAACCCTAACCCTAAACCCTATTCCCCTCGTGCGACTGTTGGAAATGGACAGGGCCACAAGAAACCTCGATGTCTTTCGCCCTAAACCCTGAGCCCTGAGCCCTAAGCCCTAAACCCTAAGCCCTAAGCCCTAAACCCTAAACCCTAAGCCGTTTTGCATACCTGACCAAGCATCCACGGCTAAGGCCGCAAGGATTTGGCACCCCTCTCGACACTTATGTACACTTTGAGCCTTTGGCATCCTGCCAAGGCAGTTTCGGGTTTAAGGTTTAGGGTTTAGGGTAGTCCTCTCTGACCTTTGGCACTTCAACTTCGGATTCTTCTCGCGGGGATCATGGTATCGTCTCCGGCCGCTGACTGGGTGACAACGTCTTCCATAAGAATGCATACCTTGGAAGTCCCCAAGTCCCAAGGGTTTAGGGTTGAGGGTTTAGGGTTTAGGGTTTGGGGTTTGGGGTTTAGGGTTTAGGGTTTAGGGCTCCCGTGCAGGGGTTGCAGCGAAACCATTGTAGAACTCCCCCTCTGAACGAGAACCCTGTCAATTCTACCATCTGGACCATTGAGGACCACCGCTCTGCTCCAGCCTTCTTTGCTCCTCACAATTGTGTAGGGTTTAGGGTTTAGGGTTTGGGGTATGTACCTAAAGCCCGGTCTACCGCCTATGTGAAGCAGCCAAATTCCGAAGGGCCACTGCGCCACCTGCATGAATGCTCGCTGCTTGTTGTCAGCTGCGCCGCCATGACCTCCCTCGATGTTTTCATAGTAGAAGGTTTGCTCCTCCAAGGTTAGTTTAGGCCTGTTGCATAGGGAACCTCATGCAAACACCCACAGACATAGAGAGTCCAAGACCCCCTAAATACGAGTTCTGCAGGATGACCGTGTTCAAATGGCGTTGGGGGGTCTTGCACCTGAAAACCCTGCAGCTTCAAGTTGTATCTCCCGTCCTTTGCAGAAGGATGACTCAGCAGCTTTGCGACCATTTTCCGGGCGTGGCCTGGGTGGACACGGTCGTCCTGCAGAGGAGACAGGACTCTCAGCTTAGTTGAACACCCACCTGCGCCGAGACGTGCGGTGATGGAGCCAACAGCGGCACCGTGTGTGCGTGGGTGTGTATATTTATCCATATATGAATACATGCATTATGTATATATATATATATACATATGTACGTGTGTGTGTGGAATCAGAGCAAATCTCTGGCGACAAGAATGGAACGAGATCCTAAATTACCCTAAACCCTAAACCCTAAACTTGGCCTAAACTCTACGGTGACTATAGTGCATCAGGAGACATTATAAGCTTCGTGGCGATCTTCTTCCGATTCATCGGGGTCTGGAAACTGAATTTAGGGACGTGCCCTCGCAGCCAGTGTGCTGTCCAAGTATGGTGCTTTTGAGTCTGTCGCCCTCGACACGGTCACGATGTTAAACGCATATGTGGCACGTGAACCTGCCACCATTCCTCTTTCGGCACCGGGACAACCCAACCCTGCTCAGCATGCAACTTTGACGCAGGTCGTCCTTTGTAGATGTGACGAATAGCGCCGGTGGGTAAGTCTTGTCGTCGGACAAATTGTGGTACGGCGAGTACTGGTGCAAGAACTCATCCCAGTCACTGGTCGCTGGGTCACCTCACTCGTCCCGGTCTTGCACAGGTCCAAATCAAACCCGCGCCCCCAACGTTGACTTCCCCAATGCCAAAAAACGGCCCTAAAATGTGACTCTCGTCTGACCGTCATAGGGCCCTCATTTCAGGGGATGAGGTTGCCCTGTAATCTTAGTTGGGGGCCCCCGAAAGAGGTTCTTAGTATGATAGGCTTCTGCCCGCAGAAGTCGTGTTTCGCTATACAAGATCTGCAATGCATGGCACGCAATTGGGTTTCTTAGGAATGAAGGCATATTCCATATATATATATATATGCATATATACATATACATATGGCTGTCTGGGGTGTGTTCCGGAGCAGTGGCAGAAGCTGGTTAGCAAAACTCTTCTGACTAGCTACTGCTTGGTCGAATTGTCTCAAGCTCTCGGGGGTGTGTTGCCGGGCGCAAACAGTTTTTGATCGTTTTTTCACATTTTTTAGCTATTTTTTGACGGATCCTAGTCCTGAAACCTGCTTCCCAAATTCATGACAACCCGACAACCCTAACTAGCAACAAACAAAAGTGGAGGCATGCGCCAAAGACAGCTGTCCCAGCAGCCGTATTCTCCCATCCAGCTGGCTCCAGCGAGCAGCTGGCTATATCTCCTTAGCTTGATCACCCGAATCCAAAAACCTCCAGACCGCAGCATGTAGCTATTCATAATACCCTGGTTAGGGCTTCCGAAACTAGGGGTTCCATATTGGGATCCTTACTAATAAGGGGAAGAGTCCTATTTTGGGGAGCTATATTGGAGGTCCCCGATTTTCGTAAAGCCCCACCTAGCAACTCCAGAAACCCCACGCAGCAGAATTGCAAAAATCAACTCTGAACTTGCTGAACTGAACATGCCCACGAACTTAGTAGCTAGGCCCCACATAGGGTTCAGGGTTTCGGGTTTAGGGTGAACCCTGAACCCAGAACCCTAAACTGAACCCTAAACACGTCTTTTGCGTCCAAGGCACTTCATGTCCAGAAGTGGCACCTGGCAAACAATCGCACCAAAGAGCTCCTTGGACTGCAGGAGCTTGCAGGGTTTGGATCTTCGGGGGTTCAGGGTTTAGGGTTTCGGTTCAGGGTTAGGTTTGGGGTTTAGGGGGTTTAGGGGGTTCAGGGGTTTCAGGGGGTTCAGGGGGTTTAGGGGGTTTAGGGGGTTTAGGGGGTTTAGGGGGTTTAGGGGGTTTAGGGGGTTTAGGGGGTTTAGGGGGTTTAGGGGATTTAGGGTTGCGGGGCTTGCAGACACTTTTTCTCAGCCCATCATTTTTCATTTGATGATAGTTTCGGCTCTCACACTAGCAATTGCGGGTGAGGCTCTAGGGTTTAGGGTTTAGGGCTCTGGTCAGTATAGGTTCCGGTGTATGGTGAGGTAAGGAGGACCTAGCAAGGCTAGACATCTAGTCATGCAAGTGTCGAAGGCCTCTTGATACTGGGTTTACGGCCCTGCTCACTGCCATCTAGAGCCACCATCTTGGGCCCTCGGCATATGTCTCGAGGAGCATTGACCCTAAACCCTAAACCCTAAACCCTAAACCCTAAACCCTAAACCCTAAACCCTAAACCCTAAACCCTAGAAGGGAACCCGCAACATGATGGCTCTCCGCGGTATTCCCTCACCCTAATTACTTACTATACCTGAAGAACTTGCAACCAAAGTTACGGGCGCTTAGTAACTCTACTTATAACTAGGGGCCCCGAAAGGCTAAACTAAGATGTCGCGACAAAAGCTCGGGATGAAACAGGGAAGGAAGATTGGCATCTACCTAAACCCTAAACCCTAAACCCTAAACCCTAAACCCTAAACTCTAAACCCTAAACCCAGCTAAAAGCACTTCGGATGTGCCACCGCGCGACCTTCTTGTCCCGGGTGAGCATGTTGCCCATGAGGAGCCCACCATTTGAGCCACCTGCAGGTGCTTAGTGTTTAGGGGTTTAGGGTTTAGGGTTTAGGGTTTAGGGCTTAAGCCTCACATCCCCTACGTTCTTTTCTGGGCTTTTAAGTTGGATGCTGCCCACCTGGAATCCCCAAAGAGCACACAAACCCCTTAATTAAGGAGTATACCTTAAGACTCTACAGGGACCTTAGTATGTCTTAAGGTAGATTCCTCTTTTAAGGGGTATACTCCCCTTAGAACCTTACAAAATCATATTTTAAATATCCTCTTGGGGTCTATATGAACAAAAATGGAAAATAATGTCCAAGGGGGATATTGAAGGGTATTGGGCTCTTTGGGTCGGGATCCAGGCCCAGGCGTGGCACTGGTTTTGCACATAGGCCGCATTGATGAGATACGTGCCCTAAACCCTAAACCCTAAACCCTAAACCCTCAACCCTAGACAAGGATGCAAGCTCTCCGAGACATCCCACCGGGGCTGGGAGTGCATTCCGGGTCTTTCTTCTAGGGCTTTCTGTAGGTATACGTATAGTTACCATACTTATAACCTTACGTCTTAATTACCCAGCCATGAACCTCCAAGTAAGGCTTCTTCCTAAGGGCTTGGGTCTTGTGTAGCCCTAAACCCTAAACCCTAAACCCTAAACCCTAAACCCTAAACCCTAAACCCTAAACCCTAAACCCTAAACCCTAAACCCTAAACCCTAAAGGACTTACGGGGGCCAACAAGCCCGGAGCTTCGCTTGAGGCGCCTTGGATGCCCAGCAGTGCGCGGGTCGTCACCCCACGACGCAGTAGGTCTTCCGCCACTGCCTGTCTGTTGGGGGGTGTGGGGGTGTGGGGTTTAGGGTTTAGGGTTTAGGGTTTAGGGTTTAGGGTTTAGGGTTTAGGGTTTTAGGGTTTTAGGGTTTTAGGGTTTTGGGGTTTTAGGGTTTTAGGGTTTTAGGGTTTTAGGGTTTTAGGGTTTTAGGGTTTTAGGGTTTTAGGGTTTTAGGGTTTTAGGGTTTAGGGTTTAGGGTTTTAGGGCTTCGGGTGTAGGGTCGAGGGTGACTGTGCCTGTCTTTAAGGGACTTAAGGAGGGACCCTTGTAAGGGACCTTAGGGGCTCTTTGGGCGTTATTTCGGGGCTACTTGGGACTACATAAGGAACATATACTGTAAGGGTTTTCTAGGGGCCCTTCCTTCCGCCACTGCCTGGTCCGTTGGGTGGCCGCTGACTGGGATTGCACTCTCTACTTGAAGGTTCATGGGACTTACTAACCATTTATAACTGGGCTTATAACCCTACTTATAATACCCCTAAAGGGCCTTATAGGGGTTATCCCAGTTATAAGTAGGGTTATAAGCCCAGTTATAAGTGGTTATTAAGTCCCATGAACCTTTAAGTAGGCCCTACACATCCGCGTGGCGGAGTTCGGAGGCGACAGGCCCTGATGCGAGAGCGTGAAGCATGCCGAGCCCGGGCATCTTAAGGTTTACCCCTAAACCCGAAACCCGAACCCGAAACCCTAAACCCTAAACCCTAAACCCTGACCTAAACCCCGAACCCTAAAGCCTAAAGCCTAAAACCCAAACCCCCAAACCCTAAACATGGGACTTGCCCAGCAGGGGCACTGGGAAAGGGCACGATGGGGGGGGGGGGGGGGGGCGCGTTAGGGGTTAGGGTTTAGGGATCGCTGAGTTTTAGGGTTTAGGGTTAAACGTTTATAGGGTTTAGGGTTTCGAGGGATGGTGGCGCCACATGAGCAGGAGAACTGCGCTGAGACGTTCTGAGCCCTAAGCCCGAAACAGCGCATTTCTTGTGCATCTGGGCTCATGGCATGCCAAGCAGCGATTCAGAGTTGACTTCGGCCACTGATGCTCGGGTTTAGCGTTTAGTTTTACGTACCTTAAATAGTGTTATGCGTGGAGTTACCACACTTTTTAGTCCCTTAAGGCCCTAAACCCTAAACCAAAAGCCCTAAAACCTAACCCTACAACCCTTTTGCAGCAGGCTTGCCACTTCGCCCACTAACCCTTTTTGGAACCCCGACTCTTTGCGTCAGCTGGCTCGATGACAATTGCACCGACAATAGTAACCCTAAACCCTAAACCCTAAACCCTAAACCCTAAACCCTAAACCCTAAACCCTAAACCCTAGACCCTAGACCCTAAACCCTAAACCCTAAACCCTACCTTAAGGAAGACGTGGGAAAAAACACACACACACACACAGACCCAGTAACGCCTCGAAGTCTTCGTACGCTTTGTTTCGGTTGGCCTTCTTGGCGGCTTGGTGCCACCTCTGCAGAGGCTTGGGGTTTGGGGGTTTAGGGTTTAGGGTTTGGGGTTTGGGGTTTAGGGTTTGGGGTTTGGGGTTTAGGGTTTAAGGTTTAAGGTTTAGGGTTTGGGGTTTAGGGTCGACGTGGACTTGGAGAGTCAATGCCATCCCCCTTCGGCACAGGCATGCGGCCATGCAAAGCTTCACATTCCCTATAAACCCTGGAACCTAAACCCTTGCCAGTCCCCTAATCCACAAACATGACAAGCCTTAGATTCCAGGAACCTCATGATCCCTAACCCGGTTTCGAAGCAAACCCGGAACCTTAAATCCTCTTCTGCCACTGGTCTGAAGTTTAGCCAGTACACATACGACCCTCAACCCTAAACGAAAAGTTTACTAGTTTACTAAACCCTGAACCCAACTAGCCTGCACCTTCCAGCAGTTCCAAAACTCAAAACTCAAAACCCAACACCCTAATTAAACCCTAAACCCTAAAGTCCTGTGGGGTCTTCAAAAGCTGGGCCTGGGCCCGTACTCGCCACCACCGCGGATGTTCGCATCAATCCAAACCTGAGGCTTCAGCGAAACAATCAAGCAGAAGCTTCGGCTCAACTCTCAGGGTTTAGGTTTAGGGTTTAGGGTTTAGGGTTTAGGGTTTAGGGTTTAGGGTTTAGGGTTTAGGGTCTAGGGTTTAGGGTTTAGGGTCTAAGCTTTAGGGTTCAGAGTTTGTAAAGCCCAAAGCCCTAAAACCCGAAAGGGCGACGTTGGTGGGCCCCAGGTGGGGGTTGGGGCTTGTAGAGAGCAGAGTT